AGCCATGGCATTTTCAGTGGCCTCGTGCCTGTGAAAGTTGGGTGTGGAATAAGGAAGACCGAAGAAGAGGCAATGCATTTGGAGTACGTGCTGACAAAGAATGCTGAAAGTCCCATGGGCTCCCAGAAGAAAAACAAAACAAACCTATCTTGGAAGAGAAGCAAGGGTGGTGAGACTGCATCTCACGTACTTTGGACCTGTCAAGAGAGGCCAGTCCCCAGAGAATACCAAGCTTGGTAAAGCAGGGGGGCAGCGAAAGAGAGCTAGACCCATGACAAGGGGGATGGACACAGTGGCTGCCACAATGGGCTCAGACATAGTTCTTGGAGTGGCACAGGACCGGGCAGTGTTTTGTCCTGTTATACATAGGGTCGCTAGGCGTCGGAGCCAACGTGAAGGTCCCTAGCAACAGCCCTGCCCCAGCTGGTGATGTCAGCTTGCCCTCTGGGAGCCGCCTCACCTTTTCTCCAGGTCATCAACACCTCCACCTGATCCTTTCTCATGACTGCTATAGCCAGGATACCAGCCTGCCCCCTTCATCTCCATCCTCCCTGCCTGCTGCTTGCCAGGTGGCCCCTCTGCCCATTCAAGCACTCAAGTTCTCTGATCCTTCAATGATTGTCTTCTGCCATTATCTCTCCCAGCCGCTCCTGACTTCAGACGGAACCCCCAGTGCCTGATCATCCACAGGTTAGGTGTGTGGTGCTGTCTACTTGGTTCCAACATGTGGAATTTACATAATCTGGTGTCAGTGTGAGACTTGAGAGGATTAACAATGAAGGGTGGAGTCTAGTCTGTCAATCAGGTCATAGCCAGTGAGGCCTATGCATAGGCATGGCCTTATGGGAATTCCTAGATTTCCTCCTTGGAGGCGGGAGACAGACTCTATCTTTGCTCTCCCTGAGAGACGCTCTACTGACAAGACACATGGTGCTACGCTCTGGGAGCTGGAGAAGCCACATGGACCTACTCTGATGCAACAAGATATCTTGAGCAGGAGAA